ACCAGAGAGATGCGCTGGGGCCTGGGACCCTTCGCTGCAGGGCCTGCACCTGGACAAATGTCGTCTCCAGCTACAGATACCAAGAAACTAGAGGGGCTAAAGGTAACTGCCTGCCTGTGCAGTTGGGACAGATCGTGGACAAAAGATAGAAAAACACCAAAAACCCAACTGCCACTTCCAAGGTGTCAGGAGCAAAGGCAGGGTCCGGCTCACACCCCCTGCACACAATAGCACGAAGGGGGTGGGCACACCACCCAGGACACCTCTCTGGCCCGACCCCTGGACCTGCCACCACCCTCACCCATTTAAGGAACCAGCTCGCACGCCTCCCCGGGAAGCGAGCAGGGCACCCGTTACTTATTCTCCCACCCTCCACTGCTGCACGAGTTCCAATAAAGCCCTGCCTGAATTTCTCACCTGACCTTTCATCAGTTCCTACTGATGGAGATGGCCGAGCACCTGGGTGGTCACAAAAGGAGCAGGTTGGCCACAAAGGACAATGAAGAGGGGACTTCTCAGCAGTGACAAAACCTGGCGGTTTCCAAGGAAGAAAGACAAAGCCTCCAACACAGAAAAGACACACACTCTTCTCACAACACGGCAGAGCAAGCAGACCAACAGCATTCAAGGGTAATGTATTCAAAATCTGAAATTTTTCAATTACTTTCCTCTAGATTTAGATGAATCTTGCTGAAATGAGACTTTGTTAACTAATAGTTTGGGTACATTTTGTCTCAAAGAATTTCCAATGTCATGAGGAAATGTCACAGTGGCCTAAAAAAAAAATTGTGCAAAGTTTACAAATACACGTGGATCTTTTACATCTGTCAAAGAATTTCAGCTAGATATCCCCTAAAACGGTATTTATCACAAGATGATACCCTGTTATAACAGGCCAGAAACTGACTTTACTGTCACTTTGAAACAAGGGACTGACATTTCCCTTTTGACTTTTTTCCACTGTATGACATATTGAAAATATCTATGCTGTTTTCTGAAGCTTGTCTATGAAAAGTATCATGGAAAAGTAGTTAAAATCATTCAATATATGCATAGAAAAACCAGGGGCAGAAATTAAACAGAAACAGTTATCCACAGAGACCAACAAGGTCAAAAGCTGGTTCTCTGAAAAGGCAAGTCTTTGGCTTGTGGAACTGGCTGGCAGAATAAAACAGAAAGCACAATAAAGGCCCCTAGGAAACTGGGACTGAAAATTATGCCAGAACTACAGGAATCAGGGTTTTTAATATAATCATTGGCTATTTCAGCAATTTTGTCCCAATAAATTCTCTAAAGATATTAAAACTTACTATGATGAATTTATTAGAAATGCAAATAACCTTCAGGCCCTAAAGAAACTGAATCAGGATTTAGAATCTTCTGCCAATACCATACCAGAGATGGTCTAAGAATAAATGTCTCCAAAGTGATACAAAGCCTCCCAGAGAATACAAAGATGAGATAGCTCCCTCACTATATGAGGTGAGACTCCCCTGAGCACCTAAAGGTGAAGGTAAAGACTGTCAACAAAAGGAACCATGTCTAGTGCGATTCAAACCACTCAGAGCATATCATTCCTGCTAGAGTATGGGGCAGTGGTTACTCAGGGAGAATGGGGCTGGGGGCCACTGGAAGAAGCCTTAGATGGTGTCAGGGGTGGGTATCCCCCCTTCCTAGACCTAGACGCAGTTATAGGCAGTGCCCACTCTGTGAAAAGCCATCAAGTTTTGACCTTGTTTTGTGTCCTTTTCTACATGAGCATCACCCTGTAAAAAATATATAAAATAGAAAATAAAGTTCCTAAGACATTTCACAATGACCAGCCTGTCCACACTTGGAACATCTGATGATGGTGGCTGTGGTTTAACATATGGAACAGCCAGTCCCACACCTGCTGGCAGCATAGTTTGGGAACAACCCCTTTGTAGTGAGATTTGCACCGTCTGGAGCTGGTGAAGGCATGCACAGTGACATGCGAACAGGGCCCTTCTCAACAGACATGCTCAAGAGACACTGACACAAGGAAGAAGTCAAAAGAGTGAAAATTTGCAGCATTTGTGGGAGGAACTACAAAGTCAGAATGACCTAAGCATCTGTGACTGGAGACTAAATTTATGGATCCCAGTATATTTGGACAGTGGAATATTATATAGACCTGAACAGATGCCAAGAGCTGGAATATCTGCAAGGACGAGTTACTCCAATGTAATGTGGAGGGGGAAAGCAAGTTACAAAAAGATACACAGCCTATGACAACATCTGAACTTTAAAACATACCAAGGATCTAATGTATTGTCTCAGAGCCTGGATGAAGAAGTGCACTGGGGAGAGAAACCCCAAGTTCACACGGGGGTTCCTGTGGGGAGAGCCAGGGAAGGTGCTTCAAAGGCAGTAAAACCCATTTCCTGGCTGTGGCTTTGCTGGCATCTTCATCTTGCTCACAGCCCACCCAGCAACAAAGCTACGGCCCCTGCCCTACCCCCCACACCATCCTCACTGGCTCAGTGAGCTTCACGGGAATTACCATAGGCCAGCTTTACCACCCGCAGAGCCAGCCCAGCGTGTGAGCGTGCATACCTGTGTGTGTGTGCACGTGTGTGTGCCTGGAGTTGGTGAAGGCACGCACACACGAGCAGGGCACTTCTCGACAGACATGCTCAAGAGACACTGACACGAGGAAGAAATTAAAAGAGTGAAAATTTGCAGCATTTGTGGTAGGAGCACACGCACGTGGTCCAGATGGAGATGGACCAGAGGAACTGCCTGCAGTAACAGCCTGGAGCCAGGAGAGGGCGGCAGACGAAGGCGCCGAGACGCGGCTTCGCGGGGAAGCTGGGGCTCACATCTCCATCCCCGCGCGCACCCCTCCTGAGACAGGAAACCCGGGAGCCATAGTTCTGAGTCTCGCTCACGGTCACACAGGTTCTGAATCCCTTATCATAATCCCTCTTATGTTCTCACAGCTCTTTACCTTGGATTTTCACTATATGAGGTTCTTACCATGTGGCCTGTTTGCTATGCCCAAAGCTCACATGTTATTTCTAATCTCTTCTACAACTCTGCAAGGGAGCTCCCTTCTTGAGATGAGGGAAAGGCAGTTCAGAATGGATAAAGAACTTGCCCCAGCTGAGACTGAAGCCCACACTTACCTACCTCCACAGGCCACATGCGCTCAGCCGTGCTGTGAGCTCCACCAGCGGCCTGGAAAGTAGAGCCCAGACTAACCTGAAAGCAGAGAACTGGTTCTGCTTCTGCAGGCAAGGCGGGCTGTGGAGGCCGCGATGGACGTCAGACTCGCGGTGCGCCGCGCGCAGCAAGCCCACACCGTGCGGGGAGGGGGAGCGCGCCCCGTGCTGCCTGCGGGTGCGTGCGTGAGTCTGTGTGTGCACGTGTGTGCGTGCCCGATACGTGTTTACGCTGCGTGTGGGCACGTGCGTCGGTGTGTATGTCGCGTGGGAGCACTTCCACGTGTGTTCGTGTGTGCATGTGCTGCATACGTGCATCCTTTGGGTGTGCATGTGAGAGTATACGTCCAAGCTGACTGGTTCCATTTCTGACTCAGTTTTACCCAAAGTCCTTGAAATGTAAGCAATAGGAATATGTTCCAAATCACCTGGACAGATCAGCTCTATCATCTGCCTCCAGGACATAATTTAAAAGGTTGGAAATCGGGTTGTCAGCAGTGAGAAAGTCACAGGAAGGACTGTGTCCCCTTGCCTGTGGACGGGGACTGCCACCACCCTAAACAGCAAGCGGAGGAAGCCCAGGCTTCAAGGGCTGCCCCTGGGAAGCTGGGGTGCCTCCCACCACACTGCCCGTCTGGGATCCCCCACCGTATTGTGCATCTGGTCCCTGAGGGACGGATACCTGGAGGGTGCACGGAGCAGGGCTCTCCCTACAATCGGAAACGGAGACCACGACCATGGTGCCTGTGTGTCTCAAACCACACCCATCTCACCATCTTAGAAAAGCTCCCAGGAAAATCCATGACAAAATAAACCCCCAGAAACAAAAGGCATGGAATTTGAGGTTGCTTCAGAGCATGTGGCAGGGAGTCAATTTACCTACATCTCCAGCTAGGTGAAGCTGGTCCCACTGTGCACATCAGTTCCCTGCCTGGCACTATCCTGCAGGGCTGGCCTCTACCCCGTGCTGTCATTCTCTCTGCTGAGCATGCTTCTTAGGGTGGAGCTTGGCTTGGCCTAAACAGAAAGGTCACAGATGCCAACAGGAGGAGGAGGAGCAAGGACAGTCCACAGTCACATCCTCTTGCCCGCTGTCCACTCGGCCCCTGCACGCCAGCCCTCCACTGGAGTAGGTCTAACCTGAAATAGTCCCGCGAGCAGAGAGCGGGTAGGGGTTTAGACCGATAAACCACATGGCACAGGCGTGTGGAGAAAACCTAGCTATGGTACAAAGAGTGGAAAAAGAAAATTCCAGAAGATTACACTTGGGATAGCGCCCTTCCAACATCGTGGGAAACCAGCAAATCAGAAATTCTACCTTTCAAGAACACAGAGATGTGGATCCACTCTATGATGTTAAAGGTAATCGAATAATAAACATACGTTTCTAGCTGAAACGTACCCAAGAAGTTAGGGGCAAGTCACTGCCCGAGCCTCCTGCACCGGGGCCTCACTGACCACTCCCTCCACCCAAAACCTCCCACCTTCCCATGAGCCGCCGGGGACGGCTGAAGAGGTGATCAGCCTTAAATTCTTGATAACAGCCTGGTGGTGGCTGTAGTCGCTCAGTCGCGTCCAGCTCTTTGCAACCCCATGGACTGAAGCCCACCAGACTCCTCCAACCATGGGATTTCCCAGGCAAGAATACTGGAGTGGGTTGCCATTTCCTTCTCCAGGGGATCTTCCCAACCCAGGGATCAAACCTGGGTCTCCTGCCTTGCAGGCAGATTCTTTACCACTAGAACCACCAGGGAAGCCCTGGTAATAGCCTAGCTAGCCAGAAAACAGACACGAAAAACAGCTAGGAAGAGGCTGTTGCATGGGGAGAGCAGTTTATTTGGGTCACATGGGGTGTGGGTTCCTGCTGGAGACAGAGAAGGACCCTGGGAACCAGGGCTTCCTGGGGGGAATGCAGCAGTTCACAGAAGGGTCCAGATCATCCTGCCATGTTCTCGCCCGGGTTCAGAGGTCGGTTTAGTGTGCTTTTTTCATCTGCCACATTCAGAACTGGAGGCCCACTGAAGACTCATGCTGGGAGGGGTATAGGGGTGATCCGGTCTGCACTGGGAGCATCTGGGAGGAGGCTCGTGATCACAAGCAGCAAGGGGTGCTACAGGAGACGGGTCTGCAGACCAGCGTGGGGCGGGAGGGCTGGTAGCACCCGGAGGACTGGCAGGAGGGGGCCACATACACGGTTGGCCTATAGCGCACGGGCAGGCACACAGCCGGCTTAAAACTCACAGGCACATACAGGGCAGGCCTGCAGCTCACGGGCAGGCAGGACGGCTGGCAGGAGCTGGCCACACAGGCAGCCTGGCAGGGGCTGGACGTGCTGTAGGACGGCTGGCAGGAGCTGGGCACGCAGGCAGCCTGGCAGCCTGAGGAGAAGCTGGTGTGGCACATGGTGGCGTGGAGCTGGCTGGTGTCGGGAGGAAGATGGGTGATGTCTGCAGATTGCTTCCATGGGCAGCCTTTATACCCAGGCCGTGGGCGTCTGAACAACACAGACGCGACTGTTGTCTTCCTTGTTTTGCCTCTTCTGGGCTATCTCCCAGGACACAGTTTTCTGTTATAGATTTTTTAGTTGTTTGTTTGGCTTTTACTTCCCTTCATGACTAATTGCCCCTCCTCAAGCTCTTGTTCACTTGGCAACCTGCCTGAGTGCCTTACTGGCTGTGTCTGGATTCTGCTTCATTCCTTAAAATTTTACCCGACCCACTTTTGTACAAATCTCCAGATGTCCCTCCCTGTGTGATTCTGGTCCTCAAACAGCCACGGAAACCACCCTCCTCCCATGTCAGCTCTACCGTGGAGCAAGGAGAGCAGAGTGCATCTGTCTGACCCCCGAGTGTCCAGCGTGTCAAGCTGAAGGTGGGGCACCAGAGGACACAGGAAGGATGGGGACTTCTCACCCACAGGGTCCAGAGGACAAAGCGCTGAGTCTCGGAGAACTTCTGGTGGGTGGTGACCTTGGTCCCTCCTCTTGAGATAGCCTCATAGTTAGAGAAGCAAGTGACAAAGCCAGAAGAGGCCAGGGGTCGGCGCTGGAAGCACCAAGCATCTGAGCAGGGGGAGCATCAGAAAGGACCCCCAGTAAATCTTCAGAAGAAGGAGGGGCTCTCTACGCTCAGTTCAAGACCACTGGAGGCTATGGAGAAGCTGCTGCAGGATTAAGAGGAGACGTCTGCTGGCATCCCACTGAGACCCCACAGCCTGCACCTATGGAACAGGGGTCCCTCCCTCACCCTGAAGTGGGACCTGCTCCAGATCCATCCTGACAGCCTGGCCAACCCATGACAAGATTTCCAGGGAAGACAGTTTGGAAATGAGGTCTCACCAAAATGGAGAGCTCGGGAAGCACTTTCCACAAATACACCCTAACAAAGTATAAAACCAAACCCACATAAACAAGCTCGAGGCGACCAGTTATTAAGTGACTGTTCACTAGACAAAAAAGTGAATCATCAGGAAAAGATAAGAGAATGCAGGCTCTCTGAATGTTCATAATTTCTAGTCTATAATAAAAAATCACTAGACATAAAAGATATAGGAAAGGGCTTCCCTGGTGGCTCGGGGTAAAGAATCCACCTTCCAATGCAGGAGACATGGGTTCAATCCCTGATCCAGGAAGATCCCACATGCTGCGGAGCAACTAAACACATGTGTCACAACAATTAAGCCTGTGCTCTAGGGCCCAGGAGCCACAAACTATTGAGCACACGTGCCACAACTACTGAAACCCTCACAGCAATGAAGACCCAGCACAGCCAAAAGTAAATAAATAAGTAAAAATTTTAAGAAAGATATAGGAAAATATAATTCATAATTAAAGGAAAAAAACACAGTGATGCATCGTGAGATGGTCCAGATATTGGTCTAGCAGGTAATGACTTAGAGCAGCTGTATGTTTAAAGAATCAAAGGAAGATATGTTCAAAGAATCAAAGGAGAAGATTATATCCATGAGTTAATAGATAGAGAATCTTAGTTGAGGAATGGCAATTTTTAATAGATAGGAAATCTCAGCTGAGGGAGGGGGGATTCTAGAACTGAGAAGCACAATAGCTGAAATAAAATATCCATTGGGTGGGCCTTACAGCAGACTGGAGGTGGAAGAAGAAATAATGAATGTGAAGATATATGAATAAAAATTATCCAATCTGAAGGAGAAAGAAGAATTAAGAAAAATGAGAACCGTGAGACAATATCAAACAGTCTAAAATATATGTAAGTTCAATCTCAGAAGCTGATTTGAAACAATTTACAGATCCAGGAATCTTAGAAAACCCAAAAGCAGGATAAATATAAAGAAAACCAGATCTGGGCACTTAGTCCTTAGAGATGAAAACCCCAAATGAAAAGAAGTATCTTTAAAGCAATGAGAGAAAAAACACTCTACATACAAGAAAAAGAACACAGCTGACTTTTCATCAAACACAGTGAAAGACAGAAGACAGTAGGCTGACATCAGTAAAATGATAAAAGACCAAAACTGCCAATCAAGAATTCTAGATCTAGCGAAGAAAAAAAGAAAAAGAAAGAAATCTTCAAAACTGAGGGTGAAGTGAAACAATTTCAGAAAAACAACAGCAAGAGGATTCCTCACCAGCAGACTGGCATTAGAAGAAATACTGAGGTGGAATATTCCTTGAGGTGGAATACAAATGGGCTCAGGTAGACACTGGCTGTACTGGAATAAGAAACACAGGAGAGATAGAAAGCAGGTGAGTACAGAAGGTTAGCTTTTCACTCTTCTAGAGCCTGACTTGTAAGACAACTGACAATTTCAAATGTATTGATACTATCCAGTTAACAAGGTCATACATGGACATATGGTCACATGGGGCTGCCCTGAATCTTCTTTAGCTATGGTTTTGACTTGTGGTCAGAACCCAAGGAGGAGTGTGTGAAGGGCTGAAATCATGGGCTACAGGGGCTTGTCTAGGGGCCACAAGGTCATCTGCTGTGTGGCCTCAGGTCAGCTCAGTGCCCTAGTTTTACAAGTTCTGACCATGCTTTAGCCCCTGAGACCACAGTGGTCTTCAGTCTCGGGGTGACTTCATTACTGGGGTGTCTCACTCTTCATAGGACTTCCCAGGGGCAGCCCCTCTGTCCATACCAGCAGTCACACGGGGGCTGCACATGTGCAGAGGGTTTCCGGGACACAGCCTCGCAGGAGGCAGCAGCACTGCCCTGAGAGATGGCCACCCCAATAAACAGCACCCACCATAGAATAACGTGCTAAGGCCGACGTGTAGACAGAACACAGGGCGGGACTGGGGCAGGAGGAGCTCGTAAACCACACTCCAGCAGCTGCCCCCTGCCCTGGAGGAGGACCCCAGTCTCCCACACTGGCTCCAACCTGCCTCACAGGGCCTGGCTGACCAGACCCTTTGGTGGGGAGAGGAATCGAAGGTGGTTCAGCCCTCTCTCCACCACAGTCCTCCTGGGACCTACCTAGGGCTGCCTGACCTGGTTGGGCAACCCTGAGTTGGAAGCTCATGGGGGGTCACACCCTTAAGCCTTGATCTTCAGGGCCAAACAAGATGAATATTTTCATCTGCCTGCCCCTCGCTCTTGTCTGTGCCAACTGATTCTGGCCTGTGGGCTATGTCACCAGTGAACCCCTAAGTCCCAGCTCCGTTAGACACCAAGTAAGGACCACAGATTCCACAGTGAGACCAAGCAGCTTCAGAGCTGCTCCGTTTGCAGGGGTGGAACCTGCATGCATTACAGGACCTTCCAGGTCTTCCTGACTGTACATCTGTGTTGTCGGCCCCTTGAATGGTGGCAGGGTTGATAACTGATCAGTTAGGAGACACTCCATGTAAAATAAAGACACTCAGACTTGGCACAAAGCTGGAGCCCTGTTGCTATAATTATGGCAAAAATGCGGCCACAGACCCCAGTAACGTGCCTGACCCCGAGGGAGAACCTTCTGGATGACAAATCAAATGGGGCACTGGTGCAGTGAGTGTGACTGTCCTTGTGTGGACAGATGACAGGGTGGTTAAACTGGAGAGGACCTTGAAAATCATGAGGGGACCCAGTCCTGGCCTGACGGTCCTTCCCATCCAACCCAGGCTCTGATTCCAGAAATCCCAGGGCCAATGGGTCACTGTCAGCCTCCAGCTGAGGGAGCTGCCTGAACTGAGTCACAGCAGCCTGAAACTCCAGGAAGAGACCCTCGGGGGGAGGAGAAGGAAAAACAGCAGGCGGCCACGAGGAAGACACCCAGTGCCTCATTGCCAGGACGCCACAGCCTGGGTATAAAGGACACCCTGGGGAGGGAGCCTCCAGACCAGCCCCGTCCTCCGCCCCGATCCCTCCCAGCCCCAAACCACCATGTGTGACACCAGCTGCCCTGCGAGCTGCCAGCCGGCCTGCTGTGTGCCCAGCTCCTGCCAGGACATTTGCTATGTGCCCAGCTCCTGCCAGCCGGCCTGCCCTGCTGTCTGCTGCCCCTCTTCGGGCTGCGGGAGCCCCTGCGGTGCCCGCCGTGTGGCTCTGCTGTGCCAACCTGCCGGCAGGTGCCTGTCCCCATGCTGCCCAGTGGCCTCCTACTGTGAGCCCAGCCCCTGCCAGGCATCCTGCTGTGTGCCCGTGAGCTGCCAGCCAGCAGTGTGTGTCCCTGTGAGCTGCAGGCCCGTGTGTGTCCTCGTGAGCTGCCAGCCCACCGTGTGTGTGGCCCCCGCCTGCCAGCCCTCCTGCCCTGCCCTCATCTGCAGGCCCCTCCCCTGTGGAGCCCCTCCTTGTTGCTGACAGATCGTCCAGAAAATCGATGCTCTGCTATTGATCTCGAAAGGCCTCTCCTTGTCTAATTAGCAGGATTCTGTCCACGCATCTCAGTGCTGAATCGATGACAGACCTACATCCCATAGAGGCGGGACATCCACCTTACTTTTCTTATCCATGAAAGCTTAGCGATCTATAAAAAATAAATCTCTGAGCCTCAATGCTGGCTTTTTTGTGATTTTCCTCTAAGCCCTGTCTGCTTGCCACTTGCTGTCCTGGACAAGCCGAGGCCAGCATGGAACTCCTGTCCTGGGGTGGAGGTTCTACTGAGAAAGCCATGCCCCTGCAACATTGAGGTGGGGGGTACTCTGTGGGGAGGGGCGGCCCAGGCCGCTGAATCCAAAGGGGCGTTCTCCCAGCGTCTCCATTGAGAAGCTTGATCCTGGGCTCTTTAAGGAAAGAGCAATGGGGTGGCGGTAGGCAGAGCCTAACATGCAGCTGCCTGCAATTTCCCAGAGGGCTTTCCAGGAATAAGGTTCACTGCGAGCTTCACTGAAGGCTGGACCAGGAGCCAGGGTGGCAGAGGAGCGGATGTAAGCTCAAGAAAAGAGTTTCCTACAAGTCAGAGCCACCCTGAACAGAAGCCACCTGGCTACTGTCCTGGCTTCTAGCCCACCAGGCTCCTCTGTCCATGGGATTCTCCAGGCAAGAATACTGGAGTGAGCTACCATGCCCTCCTCCAGGGGACCTTCCTGACCCAGACTGAACCTGAGTCTCCTGCATCACAGGCAGACTCTTTACCATCTGAGCCACTAGGTCAGCAGGGGAGCCGGTCATGAAGCCCGACTCGGCAACAGAAGAAAATCAGTACAACAGCAGGGATGAATCTCAAAAATACCACTCTGGTGGAGGGAGCCCGGCACAAGGGCACCTGCTGTGTGCCTCCATTCAGGTGAAGCCCTGAGATGAGCTGAACTAATGTGTGACTTGAAAATACACGAAGAGTGGCTGCTTCTGGAGGCTGGGGTTAAGTTGACTGGGCGGAGCGGGAGGGAGGTCCCGGGTCATGACCACTGAACACTACTTAATGCTCCACCTCCTAGCATGTTCGAGTGGTGTGTACTGCTGTTGGTAACCTAGAAATCCTTCAGAAAGTCAGACACATGGACGAGGGTTTCCTGGGCAGGTACAGGGTCCGTGGTGGACTCTCAGAGTAGACGTGTGGATACTCTCTGTTTAAGCCTTTCAACTTCCCGTATGTTTGAAAATTTTCACACAATGAAAATAAAGAATTGAAAATATAGTTAAAATGAAAGAATTAAAATATTCGTGAAAAGAACAGGAGCCACATATGGGGTTCCTGCTCTGGATGGGGAATTAAACCGAGAGCTTCCATGCCACAGCCAAGTGAACTGGGGTGCGGCCCAAGGAAACCAGGTCCCGACCCCCAAGTGGAGTAACAGTGGAGTTCAGGTCAGCCAGATGTCCAGAGTGCGGGTGGCTGTGAGAAAGCCAGTCTTCCACTTCAAGGTGGGGGCTCAGCCCACCCACCATCCCAAGACCCACTGTGGGGCCCAGGGAATCAGCTTGCAGACAAATGAGGGACTCAACACCTGAGACGGAGGCAGAGGAGAGCGTGCTGACCACAAGGCGGGGCAGCAGAGGTGGGGACCAGCCTGGCCCGGAGCCCCACGGCACTCTTCCCCCTGCAGGCAAGCCTGGGGGAAGGAGGGTGGGACGTGGCCACGTGGACCCAGGGAGGATGCCCAGCGGTCCCACATCCACCCAGGATGGGTGTATCTCCAGCAGCAGTATTGACACCTCATGGTAGGAGTTGGGGTGAGGCTACCAGGCAGCTGCTGGCAACCTCAGCACAGAGCTCCCTTGTTCCTGCATCTGAGTTCCCATCTCCTACTCCAAAATGAAGTCCACCGCCTGACAGACCCCCACCCCGATCCCAGGTGTCACTTCCCCATGTAGACGAGAGTCCTCTAATACAGCACAGTGGAAAGGACCTGGACCACCAAGGACCACCCCCATCCTCACCTCAGCAAACAAGGAAAAGTTGTGGCATGAAAAAGAAGACCAGACCAGGAGGCAGAAAATATAAGAAGGAGGAGAGACATTTTAAAAAATCCCTAAATGTAACTCAAAGACATTCAAGAAGATGCTACAACCAGAAAACAAGGATAAGAAGTTTTGAAAAGGAAAAAAATTGGAAAACTTACCAAAATGGCCCAGATTTTTTAAAATAGCTTCTGTAGTTAGAAGTGGGATGGGGGATCCAGAGACCTGTTACTTTGTCTTCCTTCCTTCCCCTCCCCCCGTAGCCCATCCCTCACCCCCCTCTTTGTATTCTTCTTCCCCTCCTCTCTTTCTCTCTCTCTCTGACACATGTCCTCTCCTCTGAAGTGTCTCCCCAGGACCTGGTGTTAAAACCTTGCCAATTTGAGTCCCCCCGTCTTTCTCTACAAGCTTTAAGGAATCATGGAGTTGGCATGCACATCATCATTGGATATCAAGGTGGAGAACTGACAGCAAAAAATGACCTTCACCTGTATGTCTCCAATGTCTTAAATTGTTAAGACAGTATGATGAACTCAATTCAGATCAGTTCAGTCGCTCAGTTGTGTCCAACTCTTTGCAACCCCATGGACTGCAGCACACCAGGCCTCCCTGTCCATCACCAACTCCCGGAGTTTCCTCAAACCCATGTCCATTGAGTCGGTGATGCCATCCAACCATCTCATCCTTTGTTGTCCCCTTCTCCTCCTGCCTTCAATCTTTCCCAGCATCAGGGTCTTTTCAAATGAGTCAGCCCTTCGCATCAGGTGGCCAAAGTATTGGAGTTTCAGCTTCAGCATCAGTCCTTCCAATGAATATTCAGGACTGATTTCCTTTAGGATGGACTGGTTGGATCTCCTTGCAGTTCAAGAGACTCTCAAAAGTCTTCTCCAACACCACAGTTCAAAAGCATCAATTCTTCTGTGCTCAACTTTGTTTATAGTCCAACTCTCACATCCATACATGACTACTGGAAAAACCATAGCCTTGACTAGACGGACCTTTGTTGGCAAAGTAATATCTCTGCTTTTTAATATGCTGTCACCATCTGCAGTGATTTTAGAGCCCAAAAAAATAAAGTCAGTCACTGTTTCCACTGTTTCTCCATCTGTTTGCCATGAAGTGATGGGACCAGATGCCATGACCTTAGTTTTCTGAATGATGAGCTTTAAGACAATTTTTTCACTCTCCTCTTTCACTTTCATCAAGTGGTTCTTTAGTTCTCCTTCACTTTCTGCCATAAGGGTGGTGTCATCTGCATATCTGAGGTTNGCTTTGTTCATAGTGATGCTTCCTAAGGCCCACTTGACTTCACATTCCAGGATGTCTGGCTCTAGGGAGTGATCACACCATCGTGATTATCTGGGTCATGAAGATCTTTTTGTACTGTTCTTCTGTGCATTCTTGTCACCTCTTCTTAATATCTTCTGCTTCTGTTAAGTCCATACCATTTCTGTCCTTTATTGAGCCCATCTTTGCATAAAATGTTCCCTTGGTATCTCTAATTTTCTTGAAGAGATCTCTAGTCTTTCCCATTCTATTGTTTTCCTCTATTTCTTTTCACTGGTCACTGAGGAAGGCTTTCTTATCTCTCCTTGCTATTCTTTGGAACTCGCATTCAAATGGGTATGTCTTTCCTTTTTTCCTTTGCTTTTTGCTTCTCTTCTTTTCACAGCTATTTGTAAGCCCTCCTCAGACAGCCATTTTGCTTTTTTGCATTTCTTTTTTCTTGGGGATGATCTTACTCCCTGTCTCCTGTACAAACTCATGAACCTCCGTCCATAGTTCATGAAGCACTCTGTCTATCAGATCTAGTCCCTTAAATCTATTTCTCACTTCCACTGTATAATCGTTAGGGATTTGACTTAGGTCATACCTGAATGGTCTAGTGGTTTTCCCTACTTTCTTCAATTTAAGTCTGAATTTGGGAATAAGGAGTTCATGATCTGAGCCACAGTCAGCTCCCGGTCTTGCTTTTGCTAACTGTATAGAGCCTCTCCATCTTTGGCTGCAAAGAACTAGCCATGACTTATGGCTGTCTTCCTCTATAATAAACTTATTATTTTCAAGAATTCCTAAGTCCCCATCAACACACTAAGAATTGAAAAACTGACACGTAACACTTACCAAGGACCTCTTCATCCATATTATACCACCATAAAAATGCACAAGAGAAGGACACTATGTATTAATAAAATATTTAATTCATCAAGGTGATATAAGGATTAAAAATATATATGCACCACACAACAGAGACCCAAAAATATATGAAGCAAACATTGGCAGAATTGAAGTGAGAACCAGACAGTTCTGTGATAATAGTTGAAGCCTTGGATACCCCATGTTCAATAATGGACAAAACATCTAGGCAGATCAATAAGGAAACAGAGGACTTGAACAACACTGCAAATCAACTAGTCAAAACAAACACACAGAACACACCGCCCATCAACAACACATTAAATGCTCTCCAGGACAAGCCATACGTTAGGACACAAAACAAGCCTCAGTGAATTAAAAAAAAAAAAAAAAAACAACTGAAATCATACAAAGGGTCTTTTCCAATCACAATGGAATGAAATTAGACATCAATAACTGTATAGAGCCTCTCCATGTTTGGCTGCAAAGAACTAGCCATGACTTATAGCTGTCTTCCTCTATAATCAACTTATTATTTTCAAGAAAGAAACTAGAAAATTCACATTATGTGGAAATTAAACAACAGATAATTTTTTTAATGGGGGTCAAAGACAAAAGTTGGGAAATTAGAAAATACTAATAATGAATTAAAATGAAAACACAATGTATCAAACCTATGAGATGCAGTGAAGGCTGTGCAGAGGGGAATTTAAGCCTCTAAATGGTCCAGTGGTTGAAAATCTGCCTTCCATTACAGGGTATGTGGGTTTGATTCATGGTCAGGAAACTAAGGGAGCCACAACTACTGAACCTGTACACCTCAACTAGAAAGAAACCTGTACGCTGCAAAGAAGACCCCACATGCCACAACTAAGACCCAATGCAGCCAAATATTAAATAAATATTTTAAAAAGAATGATCACAAATCAATAAACTAACTTTATATCTTGAGGAGCTAGAAAAGAGCAAACGAAATCTAAAGATAGAAGGAAGGAAATACTGAAATTAGAGTGAAAATAAATGGCATGACAGACAGAAAAACAGCAGAGAATTAACCAAGTTTGACTCCTTGGAGAGATATACAGATAGACTAGCAAAGAAAAAAGAGAAAAGGTACAATAACTAAATTCAAAATTGAAAGTAGGGATATTACCATGAACTGCAGAGAAATAAAAAGCATTATAAAAGAATACCAAGGACAGTTTTGTATGCCAACAAATTATAACCTAGATGAAATAGAAAATTTTCCATAAATATGCAAATTAATGAAACTGACTGAAAAAGAAACAGAAAATCTCAACAGACCTATAACAAAATATTGGATTATTAATCAATAATCTCACAGGGAAAAAAAAGCCCAGGACCAGATGGCTTCATTGGTGAATTCTACCAGCGTATAATAAACTAATGCCAAACCTTCTCAGGCTTTTCCAAAAGCCAGACGAGAGAACACTTCCTAACTCATTCTGTGATGCCAGCATTTCCCAGAAGTAAGGAAAATTACTCACCGATATACTTCATGAACATAGATCCAAAAATGCTCAACAAAATACTAGGAAACTGACTCCAATAGCATACCAAAATGATTATATACCATGACCAAGTGCCATTTATACCAGGAATGCAAGGTTGCCTCAACATTTTTTTTAAAAAACTAAGCTATGTAATATACCACATTAACAGAATGAAGGAAAAAAAGATATACGTTCTCAGACTACCCTGGTGGTAAGTGGTACAGTGAATAAGAACCTACCTGCCGTTGCAGGAGTCACAGGTTCAATCCCCGGTTCAGGAAGATTCCATGTGCCACACAGGAACTAAGCCCATGCGCCACAGCTACCGAGCCCTTGGTCTAGAGCCCATGACTTAGAGCCCACGCTCTAGAGCCCACGAGCCGCAACTACTGAGCGCCTGAGCAATGAGGTCCATGCTCCGAGAGCCTGTGCTCCACAATAAGAGAAAGTCTTCCCACAGAAACAAAGAGCCAGCGCAGCCAAAAATTTAAAAATAAATCAAATACATAATCTTTAGAAGACACGATCTCAATTGATGCAGAAAAGGATTTTGACAAAAGCCAACACAATTTCATAATTTTAAAAAATACTCAGGAAATTAGGAATAGAAGAGAAATTCTTCAACCTCACAAAAGGGGTATGTGAGAAATCCACAGCTAACACGACGCTCAACGCACCCTTTGTTGGTGTATGAGTTGAGAAGAAACTAACCTGCCAATGAAGACAGTATTTAAAAAGAACAAAGCATGCTAGTGATTCAACTGAGTGTTCAGAAATGAGGGGATGATAGCAAGAAGCCCCAGAAAGACGCTTGGTGGAGGGGCTGTGAGAAGCTGCTGGCCATCTAGAGTCCACCCACAGGATGCACTCCAGTGTACTGGACACCACCCCTGGGGCTGGACCCCTGTTCCATGGATGCCCCGGGCTCCAGCTCCTCAGAGGTTTACTGAGTGATCTGTCATGGGATTATGACGAGCATCCTCAGGACCTGCTCCGACAACAAGGAAGCAGATGCTGCTGGGCCCCCATGATGCAACAACACACACCGCAGAGCTGTATATAAGCTCCAACCTCCTAAGAACATCACACAGCCTCCCCATCCACTCCGTCACTCACTCACACCTCCTCCAGCCCCCCCGCCTCCACCATGGCCGCCTCCACCCTGTCCGTCTGCTCCAGCGACCTGAGCTACGACTGTCCAGAGAGCTGCTGCGAGCCCTCCTGCTGCGCCCCCAGCTGCTGCGCCCCGGCCCCCCGCCTGACCCTCCTCTGCGCCCCAGTGAGCTGCGAGTCCAGCCCCTGCTGCCAGCCAGCCTGCAGCAGCTCCTGCCTGGCCTTGGGCTGCCAGCAGTCTAGCTGCCAGTCCTCCTGCTGCACCTCCTCCCCCTGCCTGCAGGCCTGCTGCGAGCCCGTCTGCTGCAGGCCCGTCTGCTGCACACCAGTCTGTTGCACACCTGTGTGCTATGAAGCCTCCCCCTGCTCAACCTCCTCATGCTGCCAGCAGTCCAGCTGCCAGCCCTCCTGCTGCACCTCCTCCCCCTGCCAGCAGGCCTGCTGCGAGCCCGTCTGCTGCACTCCTGTCTGCTGCAGGCCCGTGTGCTGTGAGGCCTCCCCCTGCTCAGCCCCCTCCTCCTGCTGCAGACCCTCCTCCTCCGTGTCCCTGCTCTGCCAGCCCGTGTGCCGCCCCGCCTGCTGCGTGCCCACCTCCTCCTGCCAGCCCAGCTGCTGCCGCCCGGCCTCCTCTGTGTCCCTGCTCTGCCGGCCCGTGTGCCGCCCCGCCTGCTGCGTGCCCGCCTCCTCCTGCCAGCCCAGCTGCTGCCGCCCGGCCTCCTCTGTGTCCCTGCTCTGCCGGCCCGTGTGCCGCCCCGCCTGCTGCGTCCCCGCCTCAGCCCCAGAGCCCTGCTGCTGACCAGGCACATCCCCCCAGGGCCAGCCAGGCACCATGGGGCAACCCCCCACCACCAGCCTCATGGCCGCCTTCACGGTTTCTCCAGGAGCTCTGAGCTACATGGACACCCCCTCGTCCTCTCTGCCCAGGAGTGGGGTCCGCTCAAACTCCAGATGACCGTGCCCATGACCACTGCCCACTCCTCCTGGGACCCAGTGCTCAGGCCTGAGGACCAGGTTTCACAATCCAGGCCCCAGTAGTCTCACCTCGGAAACTGCTTGAAAACGCAATAAACTTGACTGCATTTAATGGTGTTTTACTCTCTTTCAGTCATTTCTGGTAGCATTGCCAGCCAGTCTCCACAGAGGCCAGGGCACATGCACTGCCCAGGTCCTCGCTGCCCTCCTGTCCCCAGCCACACAGGGCTCCTGGGGGCCGCGCCGCACACAGGCCTAGCACCCAGGTCCTGTCCTAGGAGCCAGCGGGGCCGGCAGGTCCTCAGCAGGCACAGGAACTTCACTGCCCTGGGCATCTCCTGGCCCCCTGCGGTGGGGTGCTGGCAGGACACAGGATTCAGGCCACTAGGTGGCTGGGACGAGGGCTCTGCCTGCAGTGGGAGGACTCGGAGCCTGGGCCCCTCTCAGTCCCTTGAGCTTTCCTGCCCCACCTTCCTTCTTCGGCACCTACAACCCCTCTGTCCATAGTCCTTGCTCCAGCCACACGCCCCGATGTCTCTTCTAACATAAACAATGAGTGAGACTCAGCCCCCATCCCTCCCAGCTCACCACACTCCCAGAGCTTCCGCACAGTTCTCCAGTCCCTTCTCCACCTTGACACCTCCCCTCTACACTCCCACCCCCGTGTTGCTGACCCTACTCCCGGCCTGGTCACCAAAGGCCCCTTGGCAAAGGTCAGTGTCCCCCTCGACCTTGTCCTGTGGACCTATCCTGTAGAATTTAGCCCTCGACTTGGGGACAGGTCCCTCTGCTCCTCCTCACACCTCTGTCTTCCGGGACCTTCACCCTGACCTCCGTCCACCTCCTCACTCCTGCATCTGGACCTTCTGATGCATCTCGGGGCCTCTCCTGGGCTCCAGGCCACTCATGGCACCTCCAGACACGACCCCACCCCAGGATCTGTGGAAGCCCTGCGTGGACCACCCGAAGCTGAATTAGCACTTTCCCCAACTAGCCTCTACTCACACTCCATCCCCAGGGTGCAGGTCCCCTGCTGGGCCAGCTGGACTCCGCCCCCACCCTCATCCCTCTGTCCTGGGCCTGAGCCTGAGGCTCTCTGGCCGCAGGTTTGGGGTCTGTCCCTGCCTCTCACGGGCGCCATTTCCCCGGCTCTGGCTGACGCTGCCCTGCGTTTACTAAACGGCTCTGGGCAGTAAACAGGGCCAGGGTCCCAGCTTCAGGGCCCCTGTGGCTGCCAACAGCCCATCCTCAGCATAAGAGGCTGTGCTTGGAGGACTGCCAGTGATGCACGTTCTTCTACAGAATTTATTCTGGGAAGAAACTGTCATTGTCCAGTAAAACATGCCAATTTTGGAGAAAGAAGAAAAGTTTACAGGTTTGGGGGAAACTCTGCCTTCCAGGGTCCCTCAAGATATCAGCAGAAAACGCCAGATGCTAAAAACTTTCAAAACTTGTTTGAATTGTTAAGAATCAATAAAAATTGTTTTAATTTATAAAACAGACTTCCCTGGCAGTCTAGTTGATAGGGACAGAATGAAGGGACAAAATAGGTGATTCAATAGTAAATCCCACTAGGGGATTGTAAGTAAAAAATATGAGAGGCCCCGGTAAGTTAATGATTACTCGAGAAAGCAGGTTTCAATTCAGTTCAGTTCAGTTGCTCGGTCGTGTCTGAGTCTTTGCGACCCCATGAACTACAGCACGCCAGGCCTCCCTGTCCATCACCAACTTCTGGCGTCTACTCAAACCCATGTCCATCGAGTCAGTGATGCCATCCAACCACCTCATCCTCTGTCATCCCCTTCTCCTCCTGCCCCCAATCCCTCCTAGCATCAGAGTCTTTTCAAATGAGTCAACTCTTTGCATGAGGTGGCCAAAGTATTGGAGTTTCAGCTTCAGCATCAGTCCTTCCAACGAACACCCAGGACTAATCTCCTTTAGGATGGACTGGCTGGATCTCCTTACCGTCCAAGGGACTCTCAAGAGTCTTCTCCAACACCACAGTTCAAAAGCATCAATTCTTCAGCACTCAGCTTTCTTCACAGTCCAACTCTCACATCCATACACGACCACTGGAAAAACCATAGCCTTGACTAGACAGACCTTTGCTGGCAAAGTAATGTCTCTGATTTTTAATATGCTCTCTAGGTTGGTCATAACTTCCCTTCCAAGGAGTAAGCGTCTTTTAATTTCATGGCTGCAATCACCATCTGCCGTGATTTTGGAGCCCAAAAAAAATAAAGTCTGACACTGTTTCCACTGTCTCCCCATCAATTTCCCATGAAGTGATACTTAACCATAAACCAAATAGGCTTGCTTAGCAACAAAACTATGCAGCAGAAGTACAAGACATGTCCCAAACCAACAAACCAATGGTGACATGAGACCCACATCCTGCCCAATGAGCTCAATCAGTTGTTCCATGTGCTGAGTCACTTCAGTTGTGTCCAATTCTTTGCGACCCTATAGACTATAGCCCACCAGTTTTCTCTGTCCATGGGATTTCTCTAGGAAAGAATATTGGAGTGGGTTGCCATTTCCTCCTTCAGGAGATCTTCCAAACCCAGGGATCAAAACCATGAGCACCATCAGTTAGTAACCCCCAAAGCTTGTTCTTTGGCCTTTAAGACACACTCTTTGCACAATATCCCCAAAACAATAAAACGATAGTAGAAAATAGGGCCTGCAACCTGCCCAATGGTGTCATCAAGTCAATGACCCCCAAACAGCTCTGTGCACACAGAAAACAATCACTTATGGGAAGGTGACTTTTCAAAATGAAAGACACTCATTGTACTGAGACCTGAAAACTTTCTGAATTGTTATGATAGTCCTGGCCTGACCATCTAAGGAGGGACAGGTAAATTCCCCTGCCCCACCCAGGGAGGAACTAATGATGGGAACATGGCATCTCCTGAGAAAGACAGAAGTTCTCCTCTCCTCCCCACTTCCTTTGATTAGAAAACTGTGTCCGCTAAGTTCTCAGGGCATGGCATTTCTCACCTATCCACTTGTAAGCCTCACAGTGTCCTATTCTAATAAGTGAAAGTGAGAGTGTTAGTCGCTCAGTCGTGTCCAACTCTTTGTGACCCCACGGACCGTAGCCACTAGGCTGCTCTGTCCATGGGATTCGCCAGGCAAGAATACTGGAGTGCTTGTATATTTTTGAGATTAATCCTTTGTCTGTTGCTTCGTTTGCTATTATTTTCTCCCAATCTGAGGGCTGTCTTTTCACCTTGCTTATAGTTTCCTTTGTTGTGCAAAAGCTTTTAAGTTTCATTAGGTCCCATTTGTT